AAGTACCTTCACATAGAACTTTGTCTTGTCTGGTGATGCATCTTGGCTGGCCTCAGAATCGCCAAACTATCCGAAAACAATGATCCAAGAACGCTTCAGACCTTTTGTTTACTTATCTTACTGTCCATTAGCTGGATTGAACCTGCCAGTTATTTTGCATGTTGCAGACGGATTTTTTCAGCCTTTCCCATTTGATGTTTAAAAAGTGACTATGTTCTCCCTACTGTGAGAGCATAATACTGTGTCACTGCTGCTTAGCACCCGGTCTCTCATCCCAGCTGTTGCCCAATGAGATGAAGAAGATTCCTGGGGACTTGCATTGAAATTTAAAAGAACCACTCAGGACAGGGGTCCCCAGGGTGATGCCCGCTGACATCTTTCCAGGCACCCCCAACAAGGGGCCAGGTGGGGCTTCTGCCCAGCAAGGTTTCTGACGGACCACTGGAGAGTTGCCTGGCTGTGCAGATCTTTTAAAAGGCTGCTTTGGGAGCAGCTAACACCACAGCACAAAGATCTTTACTGTGTGACTGAAGGTGAGCTGCAGTGGCCATTTTGCAGCTGCTTCTGCAGCTTCTGGCACCCGTTTTGTAACTGCACTTATCCTGCTGTGTCTGAATTCAAAATTCAGCCGTGTCAGATTTCAACTCAAAAACATGGTGAAGGAGAATGCCACATTTGCGAAATTATCAAGGAGTAATGGAAGAAAAACGGAAGAGGACTTGATGAGAATTAGCTGTCTGCTGGTTGATTTTCCCCAATTCATCTCTAGTCTAATGGTGAAGAAATTTAACCCAGAGCACTTCTGATTGTATTTAGGTCCTAGCTAGCCTAGCTAAAGTTAGCATAACAGAGTCCCATGGAAAGCAAGAGATCTTAAGTTAGTTGCAGTTAATTTCTTCATCGGTTTCACTGTGACTGACAATGCAGAGTTACACACATCTGAAGTCAGTGAGCTAAGAAGAGTGTAACTCTCTTTAGGATTGCACTCAGTCATAGTTAACTTTAGATGCATCATGACCTAGGTGTACAACAGTAACTAGTTTGGAAAAACAATAGCAGCGTACACCTGCCACAAGAATACACAGTATATATGCATAAGTGAGGGAGCAGGAGAGCGGCAGCAGACAGTCCAGCCTCCCAGTGTATGGGGGGGGGGGCTAGGGCCTGCTTCCTCCCCGGTGGGGGCGTGCAGGGGGGGGAAATCAGTATTTTTCAGTTTCAGGTATAATGAAGCTGAATTTGTTTTGGTATTCCCAAATATACCTGAATACCAATACTGGTGAGTGGTAATGTATTGGTATCCAGAAATACCGGGAAAAAATCAGCTCCATTATATCCTTACTAGGAAAAAGGCCCATTGTGGAAATAAATACAACAGCCTCTAGAAAGAGGCTCTGGGCGGGTGCCCCGGCCTTGGACACTCAGAGTCAATTTGCTGTGGTCACCTCAGCAGGGTATAATGACACTGAGTCCACCATTTTCTCCAGAGGAACTGATCTCTACTACCTAAAGAACAGTTGTAATTTTGAGTGATCTCCAGCCCTCACCTGGAGATTGGCAACGATGGTTCCCCAGAAGGGAATAGTTGGTTTGGAGGGTGGAGTCTATGGCTTTGTACCTGTCCGAGGTCCCACGCCTCCTGAAACCTCACCCTCTCCAGGCTCCATTCCTCACCTCTCCAGGAATTTCCCACCTGGAGTTGGCAACCGTATCTCCTTCCCAGCCAACCATCAACCTACTTTATTTCCCTCTCACTCTTCAGCTTTCCACCCCCCCACACACCTGCAGCCTCTCCTGTGCTCTGAAGCCCTGACTGCTACGTCACATTGGCTGTCATATAGGGGCCACCTCAGCAACATATAAGGATACAGAGCCCACCATTTTCTCTAGGGGAACTGATCTCTGCCATCTGGAAAGCAGTTGTAATTCTGAGTGATCTCCAGCCCTCACCTGGAGATTGGACACATTTTACCTCAGAACAGCAAACTGTTTAGAATGTTAGAGGCAAAAGCCAATCAAGTCGCATATGCAAACGACCTCTGTGTTCTGAGGCAAAGGCCAATGAGGCTGCATATGCAACTAACCTCTGTGTTCTGACTGGCTATTGGGGGGGGGGAGAGGAACAGCAAACTGTTTAGAATGTTGGAGGCAGGACTCAGGCAAAGCAGCCAGTAGATAGGGAGACCCTCTGAATGACAGATCAGAGAGCAAACTGATTTTGGAGCGTGTGGAATGTTCTAGAGAAGTGCCACCACTATTCGGCTTTTATTTATAAGGGAGATGGGACCATTGTAGTCAATGGCAAAATCTTCTAAGGAGTATTCAGTGTGCGGGGGGGGGGCAGAGGTTTGAGATAGAGGCACCATATTTGCCCTGTAGCTGCTGGAGCCTCTCCGCAAAAGAACCCCCAAGTTTGGAAAGGTTTGGACCAGGGGGTCCAATTCTGTGGGCATCCAAAGAGGGTGCCCCCATCCTCCATTGTTTCCAAAGGCAGGCAGAAAAAACAACATCCCAGCAGTTTCTCCCAGAGAATCTTTGCAGTAGAAACTAAGAAAGGTGTGGTGTGAGGGGGCATGTCTGCAAGGTCAGTAGCAGAACCAGTGCAATGTGCCCACCAGAACCAGTGCCACTGTGGCAATGCCAAAACCCAACAGGACTGAGACCAAATCTGAGAATCTCTGAAGTATAGGGGGCATGTTTGCAAGGCCAGCGGCAGAAGCAGTGCAGTGTTCTAGTGCTAGTGCCCAGCAGCAGAACCTGGTGCCAACCTACCTATCAATAGATGTCCTCTCTATGTGCTTTATATGTTTTGGCGTCTATACTGCAAAAGTGGTTATAGTGCTGTAACAGTTGAACAGAGAAGATTCTCTTATGGCGGGGGAAGAGCTTAGTAATGTCTCTTAGGAAAAGAAACATGAGGATGCTGTCAACCCCACATTCCACTTCTTAACATGACCAGTGGTTGTGGAAGAAATAAACACATTGCACACTCTACCATAGGGACAGACAATCTAGGTTTCCAGCGTTAGTTTTTGATCTTGCTGGATGTTTTGCTGTTGCTGCTTCAAAAATTAAACTACACTTTAACATGGTTACTTTGATGATAATGAATAAAAAGGAAGATCACGGATTTCAAAATGCATAGGACTGCCCTCATCAGTTGTGGATAGTGCTCTCATACCTGCCGGTGTGGCGTAAGCGGTTAGAATGCTGGACTTAGGGTCTGGGAGACCCAGGTTCGAATCCCCACTCTGCCACAGAAGCTTGCTCTCAGTCTAGCCTACCTCACAGGGTTGTTGGGAGGATCAAATGGAGGAGGAGAGAACAATGTCAGCTGCTTTGGGTCCCCATTGGGGAGAAAGGTGGGGTATAAATGAAGTAGATAAATAAAATAAGAGACCAGGTACATGTTCTGTTTCTAAGCATATATACCTAGAAGCATGTCCCACTGAGCTCAGCGAGATATTCTCTGATAAAGCCTGTTCAGGATTGCAACCTGGTTGTCCACAAATCTTTAAATGTTAAGAATCTCAGATTCTGGCTTTTTACAAGGACTGCGGGAGGTGAGAGCCAAAACAAAGATATTTGTGCTCAGTGCTCTTATATTGCAATATTTTCCTTTGTACAGTTTCTGTGTTTACTTCTAATTCAAACCTGGTTGTATGCTACTAAGAGTGCAGGATGCGTTTTTCTTACCTTACCATAGTGTACCATTATGAGCTTTATGATTCACCGATTTTTGTACAGATAAAGAATGCTGGATTCATCTCCTGTTGGTCAAGGTCTTGATAACAGGTTATAAGACAAGGCAATGCCAATTTAAAAAGTAAAGGTAAAGGTTCCCTTGCTCGAAAGCCAGTCGAATCCGACTCTAGAGTTGTGGTGCTCATCTCCGTTTCAAAGCCGAAGAGCCAGCGCTGTCCGAAGACGTTTCCGTGGTCATGTGGCCGGCATGACTAAACACCAAGGCGCACAGAATGCTGTTACCTTCCCACCGAAGTGGTACCTATTTATCTACTTGCAATTTCTTGCTTTTGAACTGCTAGTTTGCCAGGAGCTGGAACTAGAGACGGGAGCTCACTCCGTCATGCGGCAACTCGGGTCTTGAACTGCTGAACTACCGACCTTCCACAGCCTGCAGTTCAGCGTCTTAACCACTTGAGCCACCGCAGCTCAATACCAATTTAGTAGCAACCAAACTAAGCAGGGATTCCTGCAAGAATTTTAACTTGAATGCTGGAATTTTTACTTCGTTTAAAATGTAATGTCTTGGTATAGACGTGGGTTTTGGTGAGAAATGAGAGTAAGTTGCATAACTGAAAGCAGAACATCAAGGCTGCCATTATTTTGGACTGCTAAGATGGCCTCATCAGGGCCAGCCTTAGATGTAAGCAACTGCAAGTAGTTGTCTAATGAAATATTTTGTAAAACGTTTCAACATGTTAGCATTTGGGGCCTTTCTTTACTGTTGCCAAGTGATAAGGAAGCACAGAGATTATGATGTGTAGAGACAGAAGAATGGACACAATAGCAAGCGAAAATAGCAAACTGGCAGAGTATCATGGGCTCATAAATTAAGGAAAGTGTGGGCGATCAAACCCCAGCAGTAGTGTAATGGATTGTGCTTGTCCATCCAACTTTCACCTGGTATCTTTTAAACTCGGGACGGAAGCGGTACAAGACGGCTTGAGTACGACTGGGGGACGCCTGACAGATGTGCCTGTGTGAACCTGCCCCTTTAATCCGCTACTGAACCGGCCAGGCCAACCTGCCAGTCTGAACTCGGCCAGGGGCTACCCGCCTGAATCTACTTTATGAGATCATTTTCTCACTTAGACTTCCCAAAATTTTTAGTCTATGGTTTTCCCTTTCTCGGCTGTTAGCCTTGTTTCTCTTTTACCTGTTCCTAAATCTGCCTTATTTAAGATGACCTATTTGATTGTGTAATGCTTATTGGCCTAAATGCACATTTTTAAAGTGTAGTTGATTTCTTTCTACAGCGGGCTTGGAATGGGCGAACAACAGTTTGGTGGAAGCAGAACAACAGTGGCAGCAGCGCCAAAAAGAAAGAAGATGAAACTTAGCCAAGAGGATTCATTTGCATCATTAGACACAGGCCTTTCTCTCGCAGAGGATGAAGCATTAGTATTGCAGTTGCTCAGCGGTCGCAGCTAATTATTCCTCCTCCACTCTTGTTCCTGGGCCACAAATGCAACTAATGAACTGAATGCCTCTGGATGTTGATGGATAATTTTCATGCATTGCGGACTTGACAGAGATACTGGTATTTCTTACCAAATGACTCATGGTCAGACTGGTTGGTTAATTAGTTAATTTTATACTTTTTAAAGATCTAGACTTTCTCATCTTTCTGTCCTTTTCTTAAAAACCACCTCACCCCTGATGGAACTCTGAAGGTGGTGGTGGGGGAATGTTTGGGGAAAGTTTTGATTTATAATATTGGTTTGTATACAAAGACTTTGATGTCAAGACCATGAATTTTTTTCCTGTCTTAGCAAGCTTTCCTATGCAGTAAAAAGACTGAGAAGAGCTTTATTGATGAATAAGTATTGGTAAATACTTGTTATGGTGTACAAAACATACTCCTTAGGTATCACTGCAATGTGATGGTTAAGCTTTAATTATACATTCTGAAACTTTGGAATAAATTTTACTTGTCTTTGCTCTCCAGCCAATTAACAGTGTCTGCAAAATATGTATAAAAGCCAAAAGCTGATATTGCTCTATACATCTGAAGTGATCATTTTTAAGACTGTATCATAAGGTACCTCATATTCTTGATCTTTCAGAGTGGTGGCTGTTAAGGTGTGGATTGGAGCCCATGGGGGGACACCAGGTACAGTCGTGTAAAGTTCTAGGTTGAGATAGTATTCTGACACAGGATCTGGGTGGCTTTTGAGGACTTACAAAAACTTGAATTGGGGGAGGGGAATGGATTGTCCCATCATTGTCCCGTCGTCCCTAAATAACTGGGAATGGAAAGCAAAGTTATGTAGGTCTGAAAGAGATTCTGTCCTTGTCTAATGCCAGTTTATGGATTAGTGCCCCAATACAGAGATGACTGGATGTAGAAACTGATTTTACACAACTGCATGCAAAGATCTTTGTAAATTCAGGTATGGAATACATAGCACAGGATTGGACTGGGCATGCCAGAAGATCGATGGCAAGCTTGAAAAACATTGTTATAAGATGACCAGATTCACTGGAGTACAAAAGTTCTTGTACTTTTAATATTTGTGTAAAAGAGGGGGTTTGGCACCTGCCAAAATTCCTTATTGTGAGAATCTTTTAAAGGCATAAAAGGCAAATCCTCCCTTGCGTCTGGTCACCCCATGCTGTATGTGAGTCGAAAAGCCATAAAAGCACTGAAATAAACCCCATCAGCCATCTTAATGTGGCTGGATTATTTAAGCGTTAGCCCAAAGCATCCCAAGCCGAACCATGTGGTGAATTCATATTATCAGTTTACTTGTTGGAAAAACTGTGAGGCCTAGGAAAGTCCTCTCCATGAGACCCTGGAGAGCACCCGCCCATAGTAAACACATCGACCATTGTTCTGCCTCAATTTAAGATAGCACCATATAGCCTGTGTGTTCAGTCATCATCATCAGTGACATACCAGCTTTCATGGAAGACAGCTTGCCCACTAGTATAACTCTTCCTCTGCCCTGCATAGCCATGGGGATGTGTTCTAAAGAATGCTACAAAGTTCAGTGGAGCACAGATGTGCCTGATCAGAGAGAACCTCATGTGAATTCAGTGTGCATCTTTACAAGATGCCCCAGTCACCCTCTGCGGTGCACAAGATTCTGTGACAGTTACGTAAAGTTCTTCAGCAGACAAGTTGTTGTAGAAAGGGTCTTTTCAGTATCAGAAAATCTGAGAAAGAAAGGCACTCTTACGATCAACTGACACTAGTTTGCCTTTACATGGTCATATTGCCTCAATATTGATCCACTTTCAGCTTGCTTTAGGTAGCTTTTAAAAAAAAGGATTAGCCCATGTATGGAGGGATGGGTCTTTCAACAGCTGTTAGGCATGGTGGCTAAATGGGAATGTCCCATGTTCTGAAGCAGTATGCCTCTGAATAGGACTTGCAAGGGGGTAATCGACAGGTGAAGGCAGGGACCACCATGCCCTACTAGTGGGCATCCCAGTGCCTGGCGACTGCTGGAAACTGGATGAGATGAACCCTATGTGTGATCCAGCAGGTCTCTAAAGTTGTTCCTTTGTATATTTATTTGCCCATTAGGCTTTAAATTCACCTGTCAAATGGCCTTGAGAAAGCCCAAACTGATTCACAGTTCATCAAAAGTTACAGTACAATGTAACTAATATCAGGCTTCATAATGTTGAAATAAGGCCTGTTCCAGCAGGATTTTGACATGATGAAGTAAGTTACTTTGGCGTGTAGTTCTGTGATGGTTGTATCAACTGAGTGATGAAATCTGGTTTAGGGGCGAGTTACCGAATGAGGCCTACACTGGACCGTGATATTGCATTGACACAGGAATAGATTCCTTTGGATTGGTGCCACATCTGACACTTGTGTAGTTTCTTAAATTTGTTTTGCTTGTGAAGTTTGGAACGATTTCATTTGAACTAAGCCGAATTTTGTTTCAAGCTCAGTTGTAGTTTTTGGCTGCGATGCAGGAAGAAACTCAGCAGAAACAGCCGAATAAGTAGCATTTTTACTAATCAAACGTTTTGACATCCAGAGAAAAGAAACCTGCTGCTTTTGATGGTGTTGAGAACCGCAAAAAAAAAAAGCCTGTTCTTTCTTTTTACATGTTGAGCGTAATTTTAAATTGTGATTCAGAAGCCCACACACGAGTAAATTATATTTAATTCCAAAGCAGCTATCAATTCGAAGTTTCATCTCTGCTTGCCATTAGGATCCCTATGATTATTATATGCAATAGCAATCAAAAGTCGTTCACATCTCAGTGTCATTGCATTACCGTTCCAAAAATAGCAGTGCTGCTCCTAATTTAACGGTGAGCATAATTGGATCTCGCCCAGAAATGTTTATATGCTTCAGCTGAAATGCCGCTTTGTGTTGTTGTTTTCCCTTACATGCTTCAAAGTAAAACTTGAACCAGTTCTATTTAGTGTGTGGCTGGCCAACGATGAAAGGTGTTCTCATGGCAAAATCAATGAGAAAAGTTTAAGAACTTTCCAGTATTAGTTTGAGAGATGAACCCCAGTGGTATTCCACTGGGCCATTTATGCTGAAAGGTATTTTTAAGCACATGTACAAATGCAGGCTCTTAGGATAAAATTGGGGGGCAGAAGTGGAGGATTAGCTCCTATCTTGCTGAACCCTTGGCTCAGAGCGGCCCTTGGGACACTGTTTGACCTTGTCATAAAATCCTCTTCAGTTTTTCCTTGCTGACTTTCTGTTACCTTCAGCTCTGGTCTTACTGGACCCAGCAGCCCAGTTTGGTTTAGTGGTTAAGAGCGTGGACTCTAATCTGGGAGAACCGGATTTGATTCCCCACTCCTTCACATGCAGCTGCAGGTGTGACCTTGGGTCAGTCACAAGTTCTTTCAGAGCTGTTCTCTCAAGGGCAGTTCTCCAGAGAGCTCTCTCAGCCCCACCTACCTCACAGACTGTCTGTTGTGGGGAGAGGAAGGAAAAAGAGAGTGTAAGCTGCTCTGAGACTCCTTTGGGTAGTGAAGGGCGGGGGTATAAATCCAATTTCTTCTTCTTCTCCGACAGGAAGCATGAAGATGCTACTAGGGGCATGGTCAGCAGCTCAAATTTGAGTTGTTTGTGTGATCCTAAAGGTGTGCTTCTGAACTCATCTGTTTGGTTTCTTTGTGTCTCTCCTCCTTGCTGTGGACTGCCCTGTTAACCCTTTCTCCCAGCCAGTCCTCTGCCCAGTGTCTGCCAGTCTTGCTTTTTTCTATCTACATCTCTCTAGGGTCATCAGAAGTGACTTGACAGCAAATAGCGCACACACCTCTCTCCAGCCTCTGATCTGCTTTGTATGGAATGCACCCAACTACCCTGCTACCCCCCTTGTTGGCAACAGCAGAGAGAAAAGGCAGCTGATTCCTCCCCTTCTGCTCTGCTTCAAAGGGACGTAGGAGCTAAATGGCCACTTGAGCCATTAATGCAGCAGTTTAGTGCAGGGGGAGCTGCGGTGGCTCAAGTGGTTAAGACGCTGAACTGCAGGCTGTGGAGGGTCAGTAGTTCAGCAGTTCGAGACCCGGGTGCCGCAAGACGGCGTGAGCTCCCATCTCTAGTTCCAGCTCCTGCCAGCCTAGCAGTTTGAAAGCAAGAAACTGCAAGTAGATAAATAGGTACCACTTCGGTGGGAAGGTAACAGCGTTCCGTGGGCCTTGGTGTTTAGTCATGCCGGCCACATGACCACGGAAACGTCTTCGGACAGCGCTGGCTCTTCGGCTTTGAAACGGAGATGAGCACCGCAACCCTAGAGTCGGACTCCACTGGCTTTCGAGCAAGGGAACCTTTACCTTTACCTTAGTGCAGGGAGAATGACCCTTTCTTCCTCTCGTCTCCTCTCCTGCGTTTTAATCACTGATACCTAATGGGGAGCGCTATCACAGTACTAATCTGTTGGTGCCCAGCAAGTTCCTGAACTGGGCGTAAAGCTGCTGTCCCTCAACAAAGAATGTGTTATTTTAAATGGGGAGTCTCATTCATAACCATGGGGGGCTATTGCAGTTTCAGGACAGCCCTGCTGTAGTGTCTGTCTGTCATGGCTGCTCATCACGGGCACACAAAGCTGCCATCTACCTAATCAGACCATTTATCTATCAAGGTCAGTATTGTCTACTCTGAGTGGCAACGGAGTCTTGGGTAAAGTTCTTCCCCATCACCTACTACTTAAATCAGTTGAACTGGAGATGCTGGGGATTGAACTTGGGATCTTCTGCGTGCCAAGCAGTGTTCGTGTTCCCCAGTTCATGTTACTTCTCTGCATAGCTCTCTTCTTGCCACCTTGCTCCTTACCAAATGTATGTTTCAAACTGCTGCAAAAAATCCAGATGCAAAGTTTTGACTGGGCGTGCTTTTGCAAAGAGGAAACGTTTCCTATGTCTTCCCTTATACGATTTGCTCTCCATGTAAAATTGGATTTTTCACAGTACTGTGTAAGTCCCATTGCTCTTAATGGTTGTGTTAAGATGGTCAGAAACCTGCTGAAGCATCTTAGGTTTGCCCAGTCCTGACCTTGCCTACATAGACCTCTCTGACCTCCCCACCCTGATCTGGCTATGTAGTTTCATGGCTCAGTGAGACCCTGACTTTTATGAGTCATTATCTTTGAATTATGTTATCTAAGCAAGGTGTGAGCAAGCATCTTGGAATGGTTGCAGTAATCATGCTGATTATCTGCTAAAGCTTCACTTTGCTGTTACACTTTGACAAGAAAATCCAGCAGTGGGGTTGCAAGTGTTAACAACATCCTTAGGTGGTATTTCAGAGGCCTGCGTTGACACCCTCTTGATTGGATGTTGGTGAGCTTATCCTTGGTCTGTCGGGCTTTTAACAAGCCCTATTAGATTTGATGATCCACGCCATGAACACAAACAGTTGCTGTCTCGCTGAATCAAGCTGCTGCCCGCCACACTTCTGTGAGCACAGAGAGTACGACAAAAACAAAAAAACCTAAATGGCAACGAGGCTGGATACC